ATTGACACTCTAAGATTCTATTGTGCTAGATATTATTTTTAAAAAATTTAGACATACATATAATAAGCATATTGTTTTTAGAAGCGGGACTAGTGCTCATTATCAAGTTTCTGTATACTGTCCGCTTTTTTTATATATTACATAATACAATTATGCATTTATAATAATATAAAACAAGATTTAATTTAACTCCCTGAATATCTTATATAATATAATATATATAGTTAGTTATGAATTTATCCTAATATTTTAATCATTAAAAATGGAGAAATTAAAAGCGAACCCGTTTTGAATTATTAGGATTAATTATAAAAAATAAGGTTATACCTATAGTTTTCCAAAATAAATGATTATAATAGAAAATTTTTACAAATTATGGACTTAAAAATATTATGGCTGTAGAAAAACATTTATAAAATATATAGTCATAACCTATAATATTTTTTCTTAATATACGAGGAAAGGATAACGATTTACAAATAAATTAATTTTCAAATATTTTATCATAATATATACCCTGCATAAAAGCGCTTGAAAAAAAACTAAAAGAGATATCCGTATAAATAATAAACATTTAAAAAAAAAAATTAACTCTCAAAAAACCCGGTAAAATGATTAAACTTTTTGTCACACGAATTAATTGCTTTGACCACTCATACTGCGCCAAATATATACATTTAACAGAAGCTAAAAATAATATGTATAAATAACAAGGTCAACTTGATTAGTGATTTCGTGCGTAAAAAGTTATCATTTGCTTGATAAATAAAATTACAATTGACCAAGATAAAAAATCACGACTTACAAATTTAAGTTCTACAATCGTACAAAATTTTTCTAATAATAATCGTATACTGATAATAGTGATAATGATTAGGAAGATACCTAACCTTCGGTATTAAAGCACTTCTAAAAAAGTATGAATACTAGCTATGGTATGATTTTGAATTTTGAAAAAAAATTACCTAAAATGATGATTTAGAATTTACAAAATTACTGAGTAAAAAGATAATTTTATACATTTCTAAAGTTAGGTTAGGTTTTCTAACATTCTACATGATATAAAATATTTATTCGGAATATGTAGTTACAGATAAAGACAAAGTATGATGAAAATATATTAGGCATAATAAGTATTTAAAAATAGATTACAACAAATACACAAATGACTGACTGTCAATAAAAATGAAACAATGAAATATTCTTGTACCATGAAAAAAAACAAATTTTAACTGATGATAATAATAATCTAATATAAGTAGGTACATTTATTATAATTTATATGCAATGCAACTCTATACACAATACACAATATACATATTATTGAATTTCACAATAATTATAGTATTAAGGTTAAAAATATAAACAATAGGCATTTAATGAACATTGAATATCTATATCAATGGAAATTCGTTTTATAAAATATTTTTTTAAAACTAAAGAATAACATACTTTGTTAATTTAATTAGATAAATACGAGGATAAATATTATAATTGTTAAAAGTTCAAATCAGAAATAATAATAAATGATAAACATGAATATAATACTCTATGACGTATAGGTAACCTAGCTATATGTATATTATAAATTAATCACTAATGTAAATAAGTACATAATAAAGTATAATTTAAAATAACTTCTTTAGAAAACTTCTAAAAAAAAAACATGTTTCTGTATAATTCAGAGTTTTGATAACAACTATAAAACCTGGTTCAAAAGTATCATTGATTTATGTAGTATGTTAAGAACTTCTTGTCATCAGTATTCAGGTTAACTTTGACATTGGCTGATATAGCCGGGGATACCTATAACTAGAATATTTATGGTAAATTTTTTTTTTTCAAAGTATTATTTAGAACATAAACATGTGTACACATTCATTGGTATCAAAAGCTTAATTTAATTTATTTAAGTTTTAAACGGACCAGGCCCAATTACACACATAATAATAACAACAATCGTTAGAATAGTATACAAAAACATACACATTTTAAAATAAGTATACATTTGTTCACGTGTTATAACTTCAAAGTATTATTTATTTTATGGTTATATATGTTTTATTTTATTCAATTTATACAAAAATAACTTATCCTTAAAATGAAAAAAATATATGTTTATAATTTAGAAAACAATATAATATTATAGAAAAAGTTAAAAAAAAAACCATATACATGGATCATCGGCGGCATGGTTGATTCTCTATGTGAAAATATAACTGCTTATTTTAAACTGTTTGTAACATTATAATACATAATAATTACTTGCACTTAAAAAAACTTACATCACAAGAAAAAATACAAATTGTATAGGCTTTTTTACTGTAATTTTTATGACAAATGTATGCCACGTGAAGACATAAAATTTGTTTTAGGTACGTATTAATAGTTGAATTGTTAATAATTTCTTGACACTCAATTATTTTTAGTTAACGATGTTGACATATTTCATTTAAAACAGTTAAATTATCTACTAATTTTAAAATGTTACGACTTTTATTTTTAATAGTGTACTAGAAAAGAACTGACAAACCTTAAAATGTTGGAAACTCAAAATCAGAGAGTATTAGATTAGACACGAACTCGTTGAATTATCTATATTTAGAATAATATACGGACTTGAACATAGTAAATAAAACAGTGAACTATTTGATATAGGTATCTAAGTATAAATGACAACGGTCAAAACTGTATCATAAAATTCTGTAGTTGGAAGATTATAGTTAAACAATAAACTACACTAAATTCAACCTTCATTTGAGTGTAAATTATAATTTGGTTTTTGAAATCAACAATATTATAGACAATCAAACTGAAAAATATTTTAAAATATTGTTGTGATTTTGTTGCATCGAAACTCTGACTAAAACTTATAAGGTTAAAGATTATTTTTTTTTCATATTAATTATGCATATTACACTATGCGTTATTCGTTACTTTATTACTAAACACTGCTTATTAATTGAGTAATTATAATTAATTATAACTCTTCATTTATTATTTATGTCCCGATTACAAATAGGTAGGTACTATTAATTAATTAAATGCTATTATAGTTTAAAATTAATAGCATAATCGTAACATAAGAACATTTAAATAATTAATCAAAAGCTTATTAGGTATTTAATTATATAATTTGTATCACTTATATATTGTCAATTAATGCAATACATATTTTTGTATAGGTAGGTACTTACCAACCTAATGCAATTTCATTACGCTTATTGTTACTTTTGTAGTTTTATGGTTTTGTAGTAAGACATTATAAATTATGCTACAATATAATATACTGTCATATCACGTACCTAAGTAGTTTCTATAATTTATAAGCATAATTGATATATTACTATAATAATTAGATTATATACCTACTTTTTAAGAATATTAAAAGATCTCGTCAATAAATTACTTGGTGATATTAATATTTCATAAATACTAATTATTTAGAAATAAACATATTATCATGTAAAGAATAATGTTATACACGTATAATTTAAACGAATTCATCTTTTAAATACTGAATTATTGTCAACCTTAACTCCGAGAAAAAAAAGAGTGTATTCAATCTTCATTTTATAGCTGTATGACACAATATCGAAAAATGTGTTTGTGGTTTGCACAAAAATTATTGAGAATTTACAATGGTTGATCGACTGCATAATTGCATAAGTGTCTACTTCCCGATCAATAAACATACTATACAGAGCTCTGTACAAATGGCTGTCCACTTTTGATGCCCGAAAGAAGAGTGGTTTTCTGGAATGAGAAAAACGAATAAAATACTAACCGCCCTTTAGCCAATATCCCAATACCAATCAGAATTAAAAATAACAGACACATATTGCGAGTATCATCTGTATCAAATAAATTAAAAGCATTTTAAAGATCCGAACTTTAAATAAAATATGGTAAAAATAATGATCACTCTACGAGTGGTGTCTGCAACTACAGTAGGTATTTATAACGACGTCTAAACTACAAAAACCAGCGAATCGCGTGGCACGTAGATATAACTTTAGACGCGCGGCGTATATAGTTAACTTAATATTATGTTCCATTAAACGAGATACCTACACACCGACAACTATTATATTATATACACATGCGATCATTGCGATCTGTAGAGCTACACCAACCGAATACGTTGTCACGGACAATGGACGAAAAATAAAAATAAAAACACACACACACACGAGCGCGCACATGGGAATCCAGCACGGAAGTAACCCATCACCTAACGTCAATTACCATCGAGTGAACTCCACCAGTGTTTCTCATTTTTTTATTTAATTTTTTATCGGTCGACACTCGTCTAGCGAGTAAGTGTTTTAACGTTTTTTTTTTAAAGTGATTACTACAATAATATTTTTATTGGGACTTGGCGAATTACTTATTTTTCAATTATTATTATGATTGTCCTTCCCCATTGTGCTCGTCGTGCATGGAAATCGTGTGTGATCATCACGCGAGTTCCGCCTAACGTGATCCCCGCAACATGTTATACGGAAATTCTTCGAAAATGATTATAACGTACTACCTATTTGGCTCATGGAGCGCGATATATGTAAGTCTTCGTACGTTATCGGTCGAATTTGAAGAATACCTATTAACCTTGTTTACTAGATTTTATTAAAATTTAAAATAATAGTTAGGTAGAATTTAGATACTTTTTTTTCATAATAATATATTAATATCTTATTATAAACCACTCGGAGTTGTATTCTACAAGCAATTATTTAATTCGGCCCAAGCGCATGATGCATTTTAATAACTATTTATATATTTCTTAAAATACCTAGTTGCATAGATAAGTATATAATACTCCTAGTCATGTCTATTAATATATTATATAATATTTTATAATAATATACACGGTGAAAAAACAAGTAATTTGGTACCTGTAAATTTTAGATTTTATTCGAATACCTAGTATTACCACCTGCCTACAATATTATGCAATTGGGTATAACCTAATAACCAGGTAAGTAGTAAGTACCTACCTATTAACTTCGACCGGGTTTCTGCCAGACGTGTTGCTACCGGCGGCGGCGGTGGCGGCTTCGGCAGTTTGGTCCTATGGAAGAACCGTTGGCTATAATATTATAAAACCGTTTACGGAAAACTCTTTTGGAAAAAACAACCAAACTCGACGCGGCTATGATATCGAAATAAAAAACACGCACAGACACAACCGACTTCGGCAATCGCGTAACGCCAAAAAAAAAAAAAAAACCGAATAGCACTCGGACACCGCGCGAAATCGCACACGGTGTATTATATTCACGACGGCGCTTAAACCGACGACACTGCCCCGACCGAACTCGAAGAAAATATTAAATCAAAAATATTAACAAATAATAATAATAGTAACAAAAACAGAATTCACAATCGGGGGAGGAATTTTTTATTCGAACGGCGAACGGAAGTCGAAATCGCGCGAAATATATCTCGTCGTCGTCGTCCGTCGGCGAGAACGGTTGACGCGGTCGCAGGACTACGCGGGTCGGCGGCGCGCTTGGAGGGTAATCCGGAACTACTGCGCTACCGTGCGCGGCGGCGGCCGCCGCTCCGGTGCTTGGGCAACTTTGGCGCGGCCGTCGTACAGTGATCGCGAGCACCGCAATAAAATATTACCGTAGGCCAACGCGCGCGCGATTTTACGACTAGTATAATATTATTGTTTTTATCATATTGTTGTAGTTATTATTATTACCATTATGTGACACGCTCGTCGCCTGCCCGTAACTGCAATTTAATTTGTAATTTTATATTAATTATTTGTTCATATTAATATTATATTACATATTTTTATCCGAATGGACCGCATTCAAATAGAACCTAGGTAACTAAACTGACATACCACTACCACATACCTAACGCGTGTGCCGCACAGACGCGGTAAGATGTTATATTTGTATATAACATTATTATATTGTCATTCTTCTTCGCGTGTTTTCTCGATCCTTCTTACCGCAATATGTTATAGGTATTCACTCAATATTAATACTCATAACAATAATAATTTTAATATATTTTTGTTGTTGTAAAACAAATTTTTGCATACTGTGGTTGAAACCGATACGTATTCGTTCGCTTGGAAACGTTCTGCTCACACGCGAACAAACTTACTTATCTATAAAGAAACGATCCACCATGGCAGCCGTATAATACCTGTACCCGTATTTCGAACATTTTTACTCAATATCGACACTGAAAATGTTTTATTTAAGCGAATCCAACGACGGGTGGATCTCTGATAATCGTTTTCTAAATCCGTAGGTAAGTACAATAATGTTTATTATAGGTTGAACATAAAGCAAAAAAAAAAAATTTTAATTTCAATTTAATTTAATTTAGTTTTTTTTTTTGTAATATAATGCAATTTGTCTTAAGACCCGTCATAATTATTATGGTTGTAACGTTTAACACGCATTCATACGCTGATAATCATCAGATTATAACCACCGACGTTTTGTTGTAAGTTAATTGTATTTTTGAATAATTTACTAATATTACACACATATACAACAGTCCTGTGATTAACCCTGGTCATCTGTCTGCAATGGCAGCCACCACGGATTGATTGTTTACAAAATATACATTTATGGTTACAGCCTGTATGTATTATTCATATAAGTCATAATCGTTCTACGAACTCGAAAAACGTTCAAATATTGAAAATGTATTATTGACAACGGCATAAAATGTTTAAGAATATATCATTGCCGTCATCGCTGTGGCTTGTGAAATAATAATATCAATATTCATCAATGACATATTATTTTAATAAATATACCTCACCTTTTGTTTATTTTTTATTATTATTAAATACATATTATAAGGTACCCGTACAGCAATGAAACTCAAAACTGTGCACGATTACAGGTGACAATCGTTTACATTTCAGCCAATTTACAAGACAGGTATCGGAGACATGGTCTGCATACATTATAATAAGTGATATCAATATTTTGTATCATTATATTTTCTTATTAAGTGATTTATTATTTTTTAATTAAACATTTTTGCAGTCGATAAGTTGATAATGCTTAGTAATCATAAACTGCAGTATAATAATAACCACAGTTATTAAAATATTATTACGTCATATTATTTTATATGCATGACGCGTCGTATGTCGTATCAATGGAATTTTAATATTATTATTATTAATATGGCATTAGTTTACTAGATTCTAATGACTCAGGGACACCATTTAGAGGGTGGAAGGTGGACATTTGCGCCTGTCTGATTATGGAAACAGTCCAATGAGTCGGTGCCCTGTTATTTCCGATTAACCTTTTTTACATTTTATTAGCGCAAAGACATGCCTATCTGTAAAATATTTAGAAAAAATATTAGGTTTACCTATTGTTTAATATATGATTGATAGTTGGAATTTATTTATTCTATATTTTTTTAAGTTAGCCATTTGTACTGGTCAAAACCTTTTCCCCCCTCTATTGGAAACTGAAATTACACCACTATAATGTTTGATGTTTTTATTACAATAAGATAGCTCAAAATTACCAAAAGTTTTAAATCAACTTCATAAAGTGCATACATTAAACAAAAAATACAATTAATTCGTTGAATAGAAAAATATTCTCCGCACATGTCAGTATTTTCAAGAGACGTTGTTTTATGTTTATTATTTTTCTCTTGAAAATTCGTTTTAGAATTTTATTACTTAAATTATTTTCCGTAATAGTTCTAGAACAGTTTATTGAACAAAATTCATTTTGTCTAACCGCAATACAATAAAATAAAATGAAAAAAAGCAGCTGGTGAGTTACTCTATACTTCAGTGGTATTTCAATACTAGAAATGGCTACTAAAGACGCCATCAATTACACGGGTGACAAAACAATTGGGCGAACATTTGAGAAAACACACAAAAACACAAACAAACTGAAAACATTGAAAGCATCTGTGGGCAAACGGCATTTGGCCCTACACGTCCGTGGACCCCCTACACAGCTCATATTCATTATCTTTGTAACCACTGACAATTTTTCATATATCAATAACGTCTAACTTGATGACAAGCAATCACAAAAATAAAAATAAAACATTCGTAAACGGCTATTTTATTAACACATCACATAAACATTAAATAAAACTTGGGTATTTACAGAGTGAATTCTTACTGACAATATTATTATCTGTCATTTGACTTACATTTTACTGTAATAATTTTGTCGTTATAAAACATACATTTAATATTTCAAAAGAAAAATAAACAAGGTCTTTTCAATAGTTTAATCAAGTTCTTAACAAGAATATATACATTTGACAAGCAATACAATTAATACACAATAAATTATTTATAATACTTTATTATAATATATTATACTAATGTATATACATTATAATACTATAATACATTTAATTAATTTCTTGATTTTACTTTCATAAATATTTGATTGTCATGTTTATAACGAATAATTCTATATTTGTATAATACATTATACACGAGTAGCGCAAGTACAATGCACAATACGAACGAGTTATAACTATTCCTGAAATTATTTTTCCTTTATTTTGTAGTGTTTGTAACTTGTAATTATTATTTTTAATTATAAAAATCATTTTTTTTTATATACATTTTAGACTTCAAATACAAATTTTTCCAATCTTTTTTTAGTTTTTTGAAGTTTTAAGTAAAATATATACAAGTTATAATGACATGAAATTAATAAAATTATAATATTAAAACATTTTTTTTTGTTGTGGTTGAATCTTTAAAACTGAATATTGTCTGGATGATTTTGATTTCTTTACTGTAAGGTTAGGTTAAGAATATGATCACTATTAAGTATATTATTATTTCACCGAATATCTGTATCCCAATCCCAATATCCCATTTTAAATATGTTCGATAGATAAATTCGAGTTTTAAGAGGTAAATAAATTACACAGGTCTTAACGGTGTTATTGTTGATATACATATAGGCTCAATATTATTCAGTACTTATTTTAATTATTGTTGTAATTCTTAAATCGTAACGTTTGTTAGGTATAAAAAATGTAAAATATATCGAAAGAAAAAATTGTTTTTAGTAATGATGTAAACAGGCCTAACTAATTGATTATCTTTAATGGCCCCCAAAGTTTTTTTACCCGCTATTAAATAATATACTAATCTGAAGCTGAATATTTACTATTGTTGGATACAATTTAATGTGAATAGTATAGTATTATACATTATAGGCGTGTATGAAATTCGTAAAAACTGACGTCTCAGTAAAACGCGCAAATAAACCTAATTTGTCTGAGCTTAAAAATGTAAATATTAAATCTTAAAAGTCCTTTACGTCCCGTTAGTGAACAAAACATAATTATTTTATTTATTTTTGAAATCAATAATTTTAAAAAAAAAAAGAGAAAAATAATTAAACCTGAAAATCCATATCTGAACATAAAATAAGAGTTTATACCAAACAAATTGTCCATTTGTCAAAAAAATTCATAATATAGTAGAAATCAACAACAACTACCTCTAACATTTTTAAAAAGTGGCAAAACCATGAATACCTCCATTTAAAGTATTTATAAATATCGATGAGTTTCTAAGCATCTGACATATTTTACATTACCTACATGATATTATATTGATTTATGACAAAATGTTTATCATTAAAATAGTTCAAAATATTATATTATTAACATTACATATTATGTATTATGTGTATACCTACTATTATACATATTACATATATAATACGAGTACATACTATATATCTAATGTGTATAACATACTCTACAATATTATCATATTTCATATAGAAACCATAATAACAAGCACAGGAACTTAACTTAACTATAAATATTTTGATGAATAAAACAATAATTTATGTTTAAAGTTTTTCATAATATTTCTCACAATAGAAGTGTTAAACATTTTGCATCCACCTATGTACATATGTGTATTATGGTGTACAATATTATGCAGTTTTTCATATTTTATAATAACGAAAATTGGTTCGTCATGACATGTGTGAGTGTTATTATTTTTCAAATTAATAATGTTATTAAATATCAAACACTTAGGCCGAAGTGTTCCTTGTTCAGTTAAAATATTATAAAATAAATGCATCTAAGGTTTATGATTTATTAGCTCATGGTACTAGAATTATTATTACAAAGTCATAAAAGATAATATATAATATATTTAAAATGTATTTTTTGTTTAATCGTTCAACATAAAATATGTGGTAGTTGACATGGCCTTCATCCGAGCACAACGGGGACTACTGTTGGCATTTGTATTTTACAAGTTATAATATTATATGACTTATAATATTATTATTGTCTGCTCGTCGCCGAATAACATGTTTGTAAGCGTCCGTTAACTGGTTGTAAACGCAGTACTTACTATAGGTACCTATATGAATTTACTGTACGAAATTCATATATTATTTTTTTATGCGGAAGATAGAATATTTATTTATTTAGTTTCCTTTGCACAAATAATGCGAAAAACTCCAAATTATACCACGTGGTTGAACCCATCAAGATCGATCGACGC